GCGGTACAGCAGGGGCAGAAATAAGGGATCCCTAGCAGCTGCTGGAGCATATCGCACCCCAAGCCCTGGGGATGCATTTCACCACCCTAGAGTGGGCAGCAGGCAGGCTGGGGTGTGTGTGTTTTTCCTCGGATACAGTCATTTTATGTCAAACTTCAAAACAAACACCCAAAGAAAAACATCTTCACTGAACATTGCATTTTAAAAATGAAGGCTAGCAAAGAAGTTATTCCCCTTATGCAGTAACGATGGTTCTTCGAGATGTGTCCCCCTATAGGTTCTCCACTGTAGGTGTGTCTGTATCCCTGCGCTGCTATTCAGAGAACTTTGGTAGCAGTGTCTGTTGGGTCCGCACACACACTGTCTCGCCACGTGCTGCGCCATAAGGCTAGTCAGCATGCACAGGCTAACTGTCCTCAGTTCCTTTTCTACCACAGAGTCATAAACGGGAACTCTGAAGTAAAGGCAGGGAGGGTGAGTCATGGAGCACTCATAAGGGCACACATCTCGAAGAGTCATCGTTAATGCACAAAGGGATAACTTCTTCTTTGAGTAGTGACCCTGTGGGTGCTCCATCGTAGGTGACTCCTGAGCAGTACCCCTTCTGGAGGGCTGGGACTTCGGAGTCGGGTCAGTTACAGCCAACAGTACTGTGGAGCAGAAGAGGGCATCAGAGGCAGAGTCTCCAGTGATTGTATAATGTTCTGCCAAGGTGTGGATTGACACCTATATTGCTGCTCTGCAGATCTCTGAGATAGGGACATCCTTAAAGAAGGCGACAGATGAGGAGATTGATCTTCTGGAACGTGTACAGATCGAGTCTGGAAGGGTCATGTTGCTAATTTGGTAGCACTGTCTGACACAGTTCGAGACCCACTTAGAGAGTCTTTGGGCTGATATTGCTGAGCCCTTAGATCTTTCCACCATAGAAAGGAATAGTCATGGGGACTTCCTGAAGGCCTTTGTCCTATCGAGGTAGAATACTAGGGCTCTCCTAACATGGAAGATGTGTAGCATGGCTTCCTACTGTCTTGCTGAGGCTTGGGGTAGAAGATTGGAAGGTGGATTAACTGATTCATGTGAAAAGAGGAGGTTACCTTAGGGATGAACTTTGGATATGATCTAAGTGTAACCTTATCTGGGAAGAACACTGTTTGGGGGGCGAGGGGGGGGGAGAATGCGCCATCTGAACTGCTATCTCCCCTATTCTTCTCGCCGAGGTAATTGCTATCAGGAAGGCAATTTCCATTGACAGGTGTGTTAATGAACAGGTGGCCATAGGTTTAAAGGAGGGCCTAGTCAGCCCTTTCAGTACCAGGCTTAGGTCCCAGGAGGGGGTAGGAAGCCGAGGTTGAGGGAAGAGGTTTATTATACCCTTAAGGAACCTTTTAGTGGTTGGATGCAACAGTACCGAATACCCCTCTATGGGTTGGTGAAACATTGTGATAGCTGCTAGATAGATCCTGAGAGCACTTAGGGATAACCCTGTTTTTTTAAGTGTCAGCACATTCCAGAATATGTGGAAGAATTGCTCACATTGGACAGCTTTGTTGAGGCGTGCACCAAATCTGAAACCTGGACCATTCCTGCAGGTAAGTATGCCGTGTAGAGGACTTTCTACTGTGTAATAGGACCTCATGTACTGCCTTTGAGAATGAACTTTCTAGGTGCTGGAACCATGTGGGAGCCATGCTTTGAGGTGGAGAATCCCCAAGCCGAGATGTAGGGTACGCCCTTTGTCCTGTAAGAGGAGGTGCGGAATGGTCAGAAGGGAGATTGGCGGGCACATCGTGTGCCGCGTCAAGTAAGGGTACCAGGTTTGTCTTGCCCCAGTAGGAGCAATCAGGATTATGTGAGCTCCATCCCTTTTAATTTTCACAGGACCTTCAGCAGAAGAGGAGGTGGCGGGAAGGCATAAAAAGGTCCTTGTCCCAGGGGAGAAGGAGAGCATTTCCCAGAGAGTTCTGTCCCAATCCTGCCCTGGAGCAGTAGTGTGGACTTCTTGTTCTGGTAAGCGGTCAACAGGTCTGCGGATGGTGGTCCCCATCGTGTGAACAAGTCATGGAGTACTGATGGGTGCATCTCCCACTTGTGATTGTGTGGGAATTTGTGGCTGAGTTTGTCTGCTATCAACTTCTGGGAGTGGCCAAAATAAAGGCCCACCAGGGCTGATGGGAACTTGGCCCCAGGGAGGGTGTTGTAGGGCCCTGAATGGCAGCAGGGGCCACGTTTCTCTGGGTCTCTGTCTCTGGTTTGTTTGTTTCCCCAGCTGCCCCCACCAGAGGGCTCTGGCTATTGCTCAGGGAGGGGAGGCTGCTCGCTCCTGTTCCTGGGCAGATGCTGCTGCAGCTGCCATTGTGAACCAGGAGCCCAGGCCGAGCCCCTGCTGCTCCCGCAGAATTGAATTTTCTCCTTTAATGATTGAATATTCACATTAAATCTCCTGAATTATGATGCTTTTTTCCATAGTCCAATACTGATACTAGAATTCCCTCCGATTTCCCTCACATCCCTGTAATTCTCAGTAAGACTGTGATTGGGCCATGGGAATTTTTAGTAAATTTCACTGCAGAAGTGGGAAAAACATGGAAAGGTCACTTGGCCAGATCTGATCTGGTTTTAGCCCCAGACGGAGCAGCATGAGGGGTCACTCTCCACCCAGTGGGGGCTGCTCTGTGTGTGACTGGGACCCTCCTCCCCTCAGGCAGCACCCAGAGTGGTCACAAATCTAAACTTAATTCCCCTCTCCGCACACACACACCCAGCCCTGCCACTGACACGGGCAGCAGGGAGCCCTGGGTGACGCACATTAACAGGGGCAGGGTGGGGGATGGAGCCGGAAGATCCCATGGCACTTGGGGGTGGGGGGTAACAGCAGAGGAGGGGCAGGTGATTGACTGTTGGTGGTTGGGTTTGGTTAACTATAAATAATTTGGGGGAAGGGGGCACAGTCTGCAGAGGATATTACATCAATATTTAATGAGAAGATGGGAGTTTAAGGGGTCCAGCCCACTGGCCCTGTCATAACTAGAAAGGGAAGGGTAACAACCATCCTGTGTACAATACTATAAAATCCCTCCTGGCCAGAGACTCCAAAATCCTTTTACCTGTAAAGAGTTAAGAAGCTCAGGTAACCTGGCTAACACCTGACCCAAAGGACCAATAAGGGGACAAGATACTTTCAAATCTTGGTGGGGGTGGGGGGGAAGGCTTTTGTTTGTGCTCTTTGGTTTTGGGGGTTGTTCGCTCTTGGGACTAAGAGGGAACATCAATCCATGTTTTCCAAATCCTTCTGCACAAGTCTCGCATATTTCAATCTTGTAAGTAATAGCCAGGCAAGACATATTAGTTTATCTTTGTTTTCTCAACTTGTAAATTTTTCCTTTGCTAGAGGGAGGTTTATCACTGTTTTGTTGTAACTTTGAACTAAGGCTAGAGGGAGTTCCTCTGGGCTCTTTGAATCTGATGACCCTGTAAAGTTATTTTCCATCCTGATTTTACAGAGATAAGTTTTACCTTTTCTTTTTAATAAAATCCTTCTTTTAAGAACCTGACTGATTTTTTCCATTGTCCAAAGACCCAGGGGTTTGGGGTCTTTGCTCACTTTGTAACCAATTGGTTAGGACATTATTCTCAAGCCTCCCCAGGAAAGGGGGTGTAAGGGCTTGGGGGGATATTTTGGGGGAAGAGGAACTCCAAGTGATCCTTTCCCTGTTTCTTGTTAAATCACTTGGTGGTGGCAGAGTACCAGGTTTTAACCTAAGCTGGTATAAATAAGCTTAGGGGGCTTTCATGCGGGTCCCCATATCTGTACCCTAGAGTTCAGAGTGGGGAAGGAACCCTGACAGGCCCGTTAGCAGCCAGGCAGCACCACTCCCCCACGTTCTGTTCAATCCTTACAGCCCCTCGTCCCCGCAGGGTCCCAGTGTGTCTAGCCGGGCACCAGCCACAGACTCACATTCGTCCCCTGGTATTCTCTCCTGCTCCCTTCTCTCCCCAGTGCCAGGGATTTTCACTCTGTGTATCCGTTGGTGGATGTGGTGCCTGCCGTGCTCTGTGCGCTGGGGACTGGGGGCAGGTCTGACACGTCCCCTGGCACTGGGAACCCAGCGTGGGGATGTTCAGGGGGGTTCTCAGCTCCTGCGGGAGTTTGTGCCATAGCCTGGGAGCGGCTCCTCAGCAGCCTGGCAGATCCCAATCAGCAGCTCTATGAGTGCAGGGACCCCGCTCCCTCCACGGCTTTGACTCCATCCTGGGCTTCCCCTCCACAGCACCTTCCCAGCACATGTCCCTGCTCTGCACTGACCTTTCTGCTGCTGGCCTCCCACTGGGGCCATGGGAAATGGCAGGGGAGGGGCCAGCATAACCGGCTCTGTCGCTGCATGGTACTGATTCTTTCATTGTTAAACCCTGGGATTTGCTGGGAGCAGATTTAATTGGGCTATATCCAGTACTACACAAGCGAAACCCAGTCTGACAATTTAAATCGTTTATTTTGTTAAGATAAATATTTTGGATTTCTTGAAATTCCACAGTTGAAATACAAATGTCATTTAGAGAAGTTAAACTTAAATACATAATCAAAAAATAAATGTAAATAATTCCATTTCTAAAAATGTTTAGATGCTTGTTTTTGAAATACTGTTGAAATGTAAATTAAAATATTCTTGTATTTATACCTTGTTACAATAATATTTTCTAAATTAGAATCATCTTTTTCCTTTCATATTTACATTGAGATTTCACAGGGGTAGAAAATTCTGACAGGAGTGAATGACCCCATCCACCCCCATCTGCTACCCTAGGGCAGGGGACGGGGAGAGGTGAGATATGGAAACCGTACACCTGGCAACCCCTAACTGGAAGCTCCAGTTGAAAAGAGAAACTGGCAGCGTCTGGTCAGCACAAAAAGTCCAGTTGCTGCAGTAACTGGCCCCCACCCCTGGGGGTGGGAAGAGCAGCAGCGCTAGGAGGGGACAGTCTGTGTCGTGGGGTCACTGTCAGGGACAGAGATTCCCTCCGGCCTGAGCTGGGACCAGGCAGATTATCAGGGGAGCCGTGTTTTTACCCCCAGTGTTGCCACCAGGATAGAAATAAGGGCGGAGCGTCCCCGAGAAGGTGCCATTGAAAGTGAACAGATGGGACCTGTCAGTCACATTGTAAAACGAGACCTCGCCCGCCTCATAGTCCAGGAAAATCCCCACCCGGCTGGGCCTGACGCTCACGGGGAGGGGGGTCCAGGAGGAGGTGGAGACTGAGTATTTATCCCCATTCCTCAAAATCATGGCCCAGTAGCCCTGTTTGGTTGTTAGTGTGACCTGCCCCTCCCTGCTCACAGATTCCCTACAAACCCCCAGGTCCCAGTCTGTCTTGTCTCCCACCTCCACCTCCCAGTAATGCCTCCCATCTGCGAACCCCTCAGTGCCCAAGACACAGGGACAAGGATCAAATCTCCCAGGGTTGTCGGGCAGATCCTGGCGTTTGTCTCCACATCTCACATGTTTCCGATCCTCAGACAGGACGAGCCAGTGATTTGCTGTGTCTGGATCCAGAGTCACATCCACTGGGGAGAGAGTCAGAGTCAGTGCTGGGGGCAGGGGCTGGTCACTGGGATAAAAGGGAAATTAACCTGCATCCCATTCATCACTGTGTGGGGGGAGGGGTTGTTGCTTGATGGAAGTCAGGGCGCTGTGAGGAGACAATGAGGGGGAAAGGGCAGGAGGAGCGGGGGAGGGTGAGAAGGTATCAGTGGGGGCGGGGAGGGGACAGGTTGATGCTGGGTTAGGAAAGGGGAGGGGCAGGTGACAGAAGAAGAGGGGGTGGAGGGGCAGGCACAAGGGCAATGCGGGGCAAGAGGAGGAGAGAGGGGGGTGAAGGGAAGGGCAGGTTCCCGGGGGTTGCAGGGGGGAGGGGAGGGGTAGGCACCAGGGCAAAAGAAGGGGACAGACCCCAGGGGGTACAGGGATGTCAGGGAATGGGGGAGGGGCTCCAATGGGGCAGAAGGGAATCCAGGGCAGGGACTAGAGCCAGGGGGTGGTGGGGATGAGGAGTGGGGCAGGTGCCAGGACCATGAGGGGGAGGGAATGGGCAGGCACCAGGGAGATGGAGTGATGCAGGAGCCTGGGGGCAGAGGGGCTGGCTAGGGCAGGGGCAGTCATCAGTGGATGGAGGAGGGGCAGGTGCTGCAAGGGGGGTGAGCAGAGGAGCATGTGCTGGGGGCAGAATGGGGTGGTGGGAGGGGCGGGCACTGAGGGGGGCTAAGGAGGAAGAGGAGAGGCATGCATCAGGCCCATAGAGTATGTGAGAGAGGCAGGACTGGTGCCAAGGGAAAGAGATGAGGGGAGGGGTGGGCACCAGGGGTCCATAGGGTGGGTGGCACTGGGGGATGGGGGAAGGGAAGGGGCTTGCACCAGGGGACATAAGGGGTGAACAGAGGTGCAGGCACTAGGGAGGCGGAGGGGGAGTAGAAGGAGGGGCTGGCACCAGGGAAAAAGGAGGAAGTGGGAGAAGGCGCAGGTGACAAGGGGACAAAGAGGGGTGAGGGGCAGGACAGGTACCAGAAGGACATGGGGGGGGGGGGGGACAAGGGCTGGGGCAGACCCCAGGGACCAAGAGTGGAGCAAGGGAAAGTGCAGTCATAAAGGAGGAGAGGGGCATGAGGGGTGGGTGCCAGGAAGACAGAGGTGGGGCTAGGGAAGGGGTAATCACCAGGAGGGATGGGGGGGATGCGCAGAGGAGAGAGAAGAGGGGCAGGCACCAGGGGGCACAGTGGAGGTGAGGGAGCAGGTGAGCACAAGGGGGCAGAGAGTAGGGTGTGGAGAAGGGAAGGCCTTAGGGGCAGAGGGGTGTGGAGATGTGGGCACCAAGGGGGCAGAGGAAGGGTGAGGGGAGGGACCCAGAGATTAGAAGAGGGTGAGGGGAGGGGCAGACACCGGGGGCCCAAAGAGGGGCAAGGGAAGGGGTCTGCAACAGGCAGGCAGAGGGGGCAAAGGAAGGGGCAGGCACCATGGAGGAAGATGGGGGCAATGGTAGAGATGGGCCTCAGGGGGGCAGAGGAGGAGTGAACAGAGGGGCTGGCCCCAGGGGACTAGAGGGGGTGATGGGCACAGGTTTCAGGGAGGCAGAGGGTAGGGAGAACTAAGGGGAAGTTGGCAAGGGGGAAGGGCTGCAAGGGCAGGAGAAGGAAGGGGCAGGAACACCCAGCACCCCCATGTTCATCTCTATAATATGACTGAGGTATCCAATGCAAAGTTTGTCATGTTGGGTGTCTTTGGAAGGCTCATGATGCACTGAGCATGGTTGTTATAGTGATGTTATAGTAATTGTTATAGTAATGTTATAATAAGGTTATAATTTCATGTATCCTCATGAAATGTATCCTCATGGTTTAAAGCAAGCCCAGGCAAAAACTCTCCAAGAGCAGAGGAGCAGTTCACACCTTGTCAGGGCAAGGATGGGACAAGCCCAGCCCAGTCTCACAGGAACAAAGGACACTGGCTTAGGCAGCAAAAAAAGAATCTGTTAGACCCTCAAGGGAGTCACCCCCTTCCTTTGGTCAGTTTGAAACTGTGATGTGGTAATGCTCACCTGACTCTGAAGGGGGGCGGGGGTCACACGCGCAAAGCCACGAGGAAAGAAAGGACATGATAAAAGGCAGAGACATTTTGCCATGCTCGCTCTTCCACCTACATCTACAGACACCACCAAGCAACTGAACCACTGATCAAAGGGAAGAGCGTGGCTGAAGAGCCAGCTTGTGGTAAGAAGCATGTAAGTTTATGAGGACATTGAAAGTGTTAAGATCAGCTTAGAATGCAATTTGCTTTTATTCCATTTGACCAAATCAGACTTCTTGTGCTTTGACTTACAATCACTTAAAATCTATCTTTAGTAGTTAATAAATTTGTGCATTTGGTTTGCAGTGTGTCAGAAACTCCCCTTGGGAGAACAATCCTGGTACATATCAATTTCTTTGTTGAATTGATGAACTCATAAGCTTTCAGTGTCCAGGGGGCATAACTGGACACTGCAAGATGGAGGTTCCCAGGGTTGCGTCTAGGACCGGAGATATTGGCTAGTGTCATTCACTTGAAAGTAGCTGGGAGTAGCTTACATGACAGAGGCTGTGCGTGAACAGCCGAGGA